AACATATGCATACATCCATCCCTTGTAACAGACCTTTTTTCGTATTCAGTATCTTTTATATACTTTTCATAAAGTTTATCATACAAAAAAATATTCGATTTCATCTTTATCACGCCGATCACGCATTTTGTTACATAATACAACCGTCTGTAAAAGCTCTAAGGTATATAATCTTCGCTTTCTTTTTTTTTCATTTCAATCAATACTGCCTTACAATGCACAACAAATATTAATTTTATGCGAATAGTCAGCGCTAATTCTATGCACAAGTTCATCTTTAACACTAAAGATCAACTGATTTCTGGAATAAATATTACATATCGGATAAACGCAATATATATAATAAGTTTAATCTCGATGATGGTATAAAAACAAGAGTGTTATATTTACAATCGTTTTCAGCGCAGATATTCGGCTCGTGCAGGTTCTTCACAACGACGATCACAATAACGATCAATGAGAGGGCATAATTGACTTATTTACGTACCCATGTATTCTTGGGCGATGGTGTATTGTTCTTACCCAATGCCGGAAAGTGGTTCTCAAGTGTGTGACTGGACATATGCGTTTTAAAGTCCGAACCATTCTTAAGAATTTGGCCACATGTGGCGCACATCTCCAATCCCTTCGTTTTGCCGCCCATTTCTCGCTTATGTACCTTAAATAGCTCCTGCTGTTTCACGATGTCCGGTAACAGTATCAAAAGTTCGGGGAATACGCTCTCGAAGGCGTTGGCACCCATGACTTCGCGACAATGCATGTAATACTTTTGGGCATCACAGGTACCGCCTCGAAAAAGGCCGCTAACATAACGGAATTCCTCGATTTTGTCCTGCTCCACAAGGACCGTATTGAGCTTTGCAACGAGGCACGTGTTCCGTTTTTGAAAATCGGGTGGTGACACGTAGACATGTTTGCTGTTGTCTGGTAGAATGGAGTAGCTCTCACCGGAACTATTTGTGAATGTCAGACCGTTGCCACCGTGTAATCCATCGAAGCTGTTGTACTTGATGGAGAAACCGGGCGGTGGTGGAGTCGGTGAAGTGAAACCAGGTGGCGGATTCGTGAAGCCCGGCGGTCTGCTGCTAGCACTACTCAAAACGGGAAAGTCTTCCGCCCGATGAATATTATTGTTGGTCGTATTCAGACTGTTTATCTTCAGCTCGCTGCGTTTCCTCTGCTTCTCTCCGCTCGAAGAACCATTACCTCCACTTTCGGATTCTGTACCTATAACAGTTGCGATATCCAAATTACCGTCTAAATTGTTCTTGTTTTTCCTTTTATCCTTCTTACTCGAGTTTTCCGAATCTCTCGAATTCTTGTTATCGCCGCCTATATCACTGTTGATATCATGCATGGCTCGCGAACTCTCCTTAGAAGCGATGCGAGAATTATCCGAGTCAGTATGTGCCAATTCAATATCTTTCTTCACTACAGTACTTATGTTCGATTTGGAACTGCCAGATTCGTTACTGCTCGAACTATTACCGCTCGAAGCCTGCTTCGCTTTCTTCTTTTTCATCTTACCCTTTGTTTGATCCATTGTTTTCGTGCTGTTGCTAATACTAGAGTTCTGAGTGTTGTTAGTATTTTGCGAATTCTGTCCCCACGATGGCACTACCGTGATTACCGATTGTTTTTTTGATTTTGATGATTTAAATAAACTTGGAAAGTCCTCACCAGATCGAATAGGCGGCGTCGATATCGAAGATGATGGTATGATTTTCTTTGACTTGGATGCATTCGCCGATGCCGATTTTGAGCAAGTCCACTGCAGAACTTCCTTCCATTGGGTCGAATTGGCAGTACTGGTAGACGGTTCGGAGCTGCTCAAGGCAGGGAAATCAGAATCTATTGACAATTGTGCGGGGCGTATCCTGATATTGGGTCCAGACACTCTAGTAGTGACTGTGCCGTTGGGCTCATGATTCACCTGAATGGAAACGTTCGACGATGCGGAAGCTTTCTGACACTGTGGTATACCACTGGATCCTGTGGCGTTACTACTGCTGGAAACGCTGAAGTTCACTGTTTTTGAAATACTAGGACCGGCCGAGTCCGGACCCAACGCCGGGAAATTCTCATCTGTTACCGCAAGTGGTTGATTTCTTACGGTGCTTCGAATAGTCACATTTCCTCTGCTCTTAGGCTGAGTCAAGGTAGGAATGACGGGAGGGGCGGCATTACCACCCAACGTTGGAAACTCGTCAGTGCTTTGTACATCTACGGACGGTTGCTTTATAAAGGTAGGTTCGTTGTTGGACGCAAATGAACTGGAGCTGCTGGGTATCGAACCTTGCTGGTAATCCCTGGATCCGTAATCCCTTGTGCTCCTCGATGTGGACGCGCCCAACATACCTCTTCTGTTTATGCGATTCTCGCCACGTGGCGCCAAAGTGAATTCCAGCTCTAACGTTCTCGCCTGCTTGGCGGCGGCTTTACTCAACTGTTTGCCGTGAACGCTGGCTTTGTGCGCCTTGAGATCAATATCAGTCCGAAAAACGCTCGTAAATTTTTCCTCTGCACACACTCCTTCCTCGCACAGATAGTGCTCTTGCCGGAAATGATCTCTGAGATAATCGTACGAGCTATAATACTGATGCAGACCGTCCGCATCGCAGAAATGACAGTACAAATGATCGCGTCTCAGATGTCGATATAGCTCGTCGTTATCCATGTACCGCTGATCGCAAAACTCGCAGAGCGGATGACCCTTATGACTCTTATCATCAACATCACCTTTTCTCCGATGTGTAGCTAAACTTGATCTCGTGTAACAACGTCTTTCATGAGAAAATATCTATTAAGAAGAAAATGATGAGTTAAGATATAGAAGAATATCGATTATCCTTTCATTATTTGTCAATTAAAAGTATTGCATTTTCAGATATCTTACCTTTAAATTTTCTACACACAGGTCACAATAATGCAGCTCGTGTCGTTGTCGCATATGGTCCTTTAAACTATTGAAACTGCTAAAGACTGTTTTCTCCTTACATATTGAACATGTATTAGCTAATAATTCAGTGAATTTCTCTTGAATATCCAAATTGCTAAAGTAAATGTCATATCGCGTATCCACCAGGTTAGTTCCAGTTAAGCTATGAAAAGATTTAATATCTCGAGTAAATACTACTTTTGGCATATCTTGGCGGCAGATGGGGCATTCATTTTGACGACAGAGCACTCTCATCCGGGTACTGCACTCGTAACAGACAGGATGCTCACACATGCCAATGCTGTAGATGTCAACATTCTTATAACACACCACGCAGGTATTATTGTTAAAATTATCATTGCTTCCAGACATCCTGGCAAAGAATTAAAATCTTTCTCGATTCACTCTCAATTCAATAAGTCCCACTATCTTCAGACTCTTGCTTGGATTTTACGAAAAAATTTATTTCTCAAGACGATACGAATGTCCCGTCGCTGGTTTTCAATGACAGATCTCTCTATTAGGATTCCTAAAACAGAATACAACGATGAAAATGATGCGCTCACGGATAAAAATGAGAAAGAGAGAAGTGTCACGCGCGTGACAATGAGAACGGTCCTGTGCAATCACAAACTGTCCACGAACGTTCCAATGTGGTGACATACATATCGGCTCGCAATCGACGTCACACGACGCAATCCTCGAAAATATCTGGCCAAATTGGCCGGATAGTCCTCCGTCGGGATTCGTTAGACTGGTCGGAATTTTCCGAAAATAGATAACAGGCGCGAAATTGGCAGCGGTTTTAGCAGATGGCAGAATCTCGCGTTGGCGGCGGCAACAGTGACCGAGGTTATCGTGCGATCAACGATCGGTCGGGCATTTTACTTTCGCGATCGCGCGAAGACAAGTGCAAACGAGGAAGACAAAGAAATAGAAAAACAGAGAAAGAAAGATAGATGGACTCGACCAATCTCGGTCGAGAAGGGGACTCACCGAACGAATCTACCTGCAGCTTGGTACTTCCGCGTGCCGACATGGAAAGAGTGGAAGCCGACAGAAATTATCTCGTACGAACTCGGAAATTTGCATACGCTCTACTACATATATGAATTTATATTCTCCCTTCACGTTGTCGCAACATTGACGACGGCGATACGTACCGATTGACAAATATTATATTTCCTACCTCAAATTCCGCCGAGATAAAAACGAAAGTGAAACACGACAAGCACGCGACTCCAATGTTTTAACGTGTAATTCTAATCAATTCTAACGGCTTTAGGCAACGAGTGATGTTTCAGGGAATGACGTCGTGCTTTCTAAGAGTGCTATATAACCTACAATTGGTATCTGCAATCGATAGTTGTTAAAATGACCAAGAGATGTCATTAGATACTCATTTAATATAGAGACACAATAAGAGACTGATCATAAAAAAGCCACTTTTTTTATTAGTCCTCCATCTTTTGGCTATTCTCACTTATTTTCAAATACATTAACTACATTAATCTTAAATTGTAATATTATAATTTAAAAACATAAGCGTTTTAATAAAATATGTATATTTATAAAACTTTATTTTACATAATTATATTACCAATTTATTAATATATTTATTATTGTATTTATTAATATATTTCCTTTAATTTTAACGATTTTAAATTTATTACTATTTATTTATTTATCTTTTATTTTTTATTTATTTTTTTATTTATCATTTTATTTATCTTGTTTTCGCTATCTTTTTCAACACAAGAGCAAAAATTAATATAATACTATTATACTACTGTTACATTATAATATTTTTACTTTTTGATAGACAATTGTCAAATTGTTACGATCCTCTGTAAAATTAATACAATGACAGCTATTTACAAAGTTAGTGCAGCGAGAGAACCCATCGCGAAAAAGCGTCAATAATAAACTTCACAAACCTCACAAAGAAAGGAATCATTTGTTGGTACTCAATTTTTACGACCAATTTTGCAACCATAAAGCTCGACGTTTCGGATCTCTCGAGAAAACTTTTATGACATGACCTTTCTTCGAAGAATTACTACAAAATGGTGCTGAACATCCACCTATTTTTTGTATTGATTTATTACAATTAATTAATTTATGACTATATTTTGCAATTTTAGTATTGTAGGCATATTTTCGGTATTGACGTTGATCCTTCGAGAAATATGTTATGATCGGAAGTATCGTGAAATTTCAAGAAAATAACGATCAATTTGTCATGTCGGCATGATTGGCTCGGATATGTACACAATAATTATCCGCATATCTTTGCGAGTGGGATATATACCCGTATGGAAAGGAACTATTGAGAACTATTGAAAACTATTCAGATTTTTATAGTTACCATTCAATTCTGTAGTAACTTGAGTAGTAATTATTGGCGATTACATGCATGAATTAGTAATTGAATAACTGCAGTAACTGCGACTATTGGCGAATAGTTCTGAAAAGTAACTATTGGAGACTATGTATGAATAATAATTGAATATTCATGCATGTAACTATAGAAATCTGAATAGTTCTCAATAGTTCCTTTCCATATGGGGGTATAAGGAAAATGCTGTTGCTTTTTAAAAAAACATGTAATTGCATATTACGAATTGCATAATTCTTTTTTAAAAACAACTATATGTTTTCTATGCATTAATTTATCTTATTTTATGCATAAAAATATTAAGATGTAATAGTAAAGTAACTGAATAGTTTATGAGATATTTTATATTTTATGTTGAAATGTGCAAGAGTAAAATGTAAAGTTATTATTTTTTTGACAATTTTATCTTAATACTTTTATATGCAGAATAATCGGAGAAATCATGTATTGATTTTTTTCGAAAATTAATCTTACCATTATTTGTCTCCTTTCAAAACGTATATCTTTTATTTCAAATGTTTTTCCATTTTTCTTCAATA